TTAGTATCGTTTTCTACTGTCCATAAGATAGAAAAATATCATAAACGTAAGTCCGGAAACTCTTCCTTTTTGAAACTGTTTATCTCAAAAGTTTACATGAATAGATATCACACGAAGTAAATGTGCTAGAGTAAGTGATACTGTCGAAGACAGTTTATCATAATAAATTAGTTTTTATCTAAACGTTGGATAATTAAGATAGTGTTACCATGATAATTTATCCAAATATTGAGACAGATATATTCATTTCATGTATGGTTGCGCTAATGCAAACTTTAGAGAAACTCAGCATTTATATCATGAAACACAAGATATAGTCATTTTCAGCAATTTCTTCAAATAAATTACAAACCTTTTAAATATTTTCTCGTAAACAAAAAGTGTTTATATTTTAAAAAGGAAAAGTTTCCGGACCTACATTTATATGACCTTTTTCATCCTTAGGGACAGTAGAATACGATACCGAAGTTTGGCCATCTATTTCTGGGACATCTTGTATATATAATATTATACATTAATAATATAATAATATATCTGAATAAAAGAATAATCTAAAATCGGTAGCAATAACAAAAATATGCTGGAAGCTGGAACTAATCCATTTGTAATTGTACTTGCAAAAATAATTTTTAAATACAATAGGAGATTAATTTATACGTATAAAAAACTATGGATGCTTGTTTAAACCATTTATTATACGCTTAGTGATTAAACAATATTTCAGACGACGTAATTACATAGATATTACTGCTTAAAGTTATTTGAAATTGTACGTCAAACGATCGATTCCTTTTCAAAGTCAGTCATTGTAAAACGTATTCTTTAGTATTAGGGAAAAGCCTATTGAACGGATTTTTGTACATCAGCGAGATCTCTTCATTCAACGACAATGAGTGATGCGTTTGTTGAGTGCCATTCACAGTGCGAGGGATTATTTCCATCGAAAATGCACATGATACATAGCCACTAGGGACGTCTATTGCTGGATAATGAATTAATGGAGGACAGAGGTAAATGAAACAAGTATTTAAACCCGCAGCACTGTCGGACACGCCGCGCCGCCTGTTTCCATTTTTGGCTCGTAGGTAGAAAAATTTCATTGACCATAAATTTCTCTTTCGTAGCTATTTGCGGTATATTTAATAATTATTCGTCTAATTGAACTAATCATTCAAAAAGGGCATTAAGTTATATAAAATAATTATATTTTATAATAAGTTATAAAATAGTTGTATTTCATGAAATTAAAAATGTTCTATTTTTATCTAGTAACACGATAAAGCCGCTAGATAGAAATGATATAACGCGGATTTCGTTTCTCAGCAAAAACGTCAAAAAAGAATCAATCGTCACAAGCGGACAGCAGCATGATCGCCACTTTTATTTCACGAGACAAGTCTAGTAGATCAAAGCGATCTAGTGCGAATTTTGTGTTCCTCGGCAAAACGCAGAAAAAAGTAGCAATCATCAAAAACGGACAACAGAGCATGATCGTATCAACTCGCTGCTTCGACAACGAATAAATCTAACGCGACATATTTTTCACAATATTTCACCGCTGAAATTGCAAAAAAAGCGGAAAGAACAAACGCCAGGCCAGAGGAAGGAAAAACAATGGAAGCGCGTTTCATGGAAATCACAGAAACTAGAGCATTGTGCGTAGAACTGATATGCAACTGGACAAGTCTCACTAGAAAGTCGTATTTTTCCCTCTTTTTTATGGACGTATTTATTAATATCAAATCTCTGTCTATATCACCTGTTTCTATTTCCAACCCGTTGCCCCAAGGTTAAATGCGAACAGCGCGCTCCATGCACGACGATGCCCTGAAATCTGCTGGGAAATGTTCCTTGCAACTTGTAGCCGGAAATACGATCTCTCGCGAATGTTGGGTATAACTAATTTCGACGTTATAAACAAGGTCAGCGACGGAGGATAATATCGTTAGGCTGTGCTGCATCACACCAGGATTATCGCGATTAATTATGTGCGCCGGTTACGTAGACCGAATATACAAGATTATTCTCTGCGAGAGTCGCTTACATTCGGCTGTGGCTAAAGTCGAGTCCGACCAAGAGGGAATTGTAGCGTTATTGAAGATCATACGCTTAATGTATACGCATTATGAATATATCGGATAGATCGATTAATGATTATACTCCTAATGAATTAAAATAGAAACTTGTGTAATAAATTTTTTAACAATGTCGGAAAATCATTTTTTCATATCATATAATTTGCATATACACTCATTAATTTTATAAATTTCTGTAGCTTTACGAGATTCTATATTAGATCTGTCTTTTCTCATTTTTCTTTGGTATCATTTTATAGCTTAAAGATATTTAAATTGCAATTTGCAATAAAAAAAAATGGTTTGGAAAACGATTTCTGCTTGAAATGTATAAAAGTTATACTGATAATAATATCCAAATGAAACGTATACGGAGTCCGAAACTTATTACTATCCGTTATATTCTTGACAATAAACGTATCCCCCAAAACACGCAACGCCAAGAAAGTTAGTAAAGTCAGTTAATTAATTCTTTTTCTTCAACGTTAAGTCGGCGTAAGTTCATTCGCGTTGTGCTAACTTCCGGGTGGATGCTGTGCATTAAATCCGGTGATTCCAGTAGCCTGCAGTTTAACGTCAACTTTAGAACGAACTTTCAAAAACACGCAATATATATTGTACTTTGCAACTTCGTCGGCTCTTCTGGTTTGTTCGCGCGATCTTTCGTCCTTACAATTTCTCATCACTTGCATCGACGATGGCAGTGTGATGAGGATGATAATCAAGATTATCAAATTCTAAACTCCGTAATTTGTCAGTGTCAGTGTTTCACGTGCAGGGGGTGAAAGGTTATCGCCATTGCTTCCACTTTCGATTGAAGGTGCACGTATACAAGGTTAGCGGTTTCTGATTCGCATAAGATTGCATCATGGAAAATTATGCGAAGTAATAGCGTAGCGATTTGAAAATAACATTGTCAATCATGGCATCCGTGGCAGACCAATTAAATAGTTATTGATTTCGAGAAATCACACGCACCGTACTCTTTTACATAGCATCAGTCATATTTGTCATTATTATTAAAGGGATGTTGGAGTGACGAAATTATTGATACATTACAACCGCATTAGAAACCTTCGAATAGACTGAATGAAATTAAAAATTCTTTTACAGAATTGAAGTAGTCACAAAATTAAGAAATGGCCTTTATATTAAAATCGAAAAAAAAAGGTAACTCATATTTTTCAACTCATAGAGTTATCACTGATATAAACATTTCCTTATTTAATAGAAAAGTTCTATAATTCGTATGGACAAAATAACATCATACCACCCGTCGAATTACGTGAACAAATAATACTGAGTTTATGAAGCTAAGATTGAAGACTAAAAAAATATATACATATATATATATATATATACATATGTATATATGTGTATGTATGTATGCTTAGCGAAACTCAGAATGTTAAACAATGCAGTAATGCAATATGTCTAATAATAGATACCGGATCTTGCAAATAATAACATTGTAATATGTTAGATAAGATGTATGCGTTCGAATGAGACAGAATGATAATATATATAAGAAATAAATTAAAGATCTCACAAAGAGAAGATGTCACTATTATCGACATTTTAAATTTGGAATTAAAAAAAATCTGTATTATCGATATCGGTCAAGTTCGGCCGTTACTTCATCATCCCCTTAAATAGATCGCTCGGTAGTACGTATAGATTCCGTTTGATCGAGAAGTTATCTGTGTATTCAAACAAAAGAAAATCTTATATTTTTTCGAATATTGAACGAGACAGTAAAGCCCTATACCCTAAACACAATGGGAGGCAACAGCGATAGGGATAGAATATAGGCAATAATAATATGCATAGCGATAGAAACAGATGAATCCAACGTACGAATGCATATGTCAATGCAGATCGAAACACAGAATAGGCAATAGCGATAAAATTTCGGACGAATTGGAATTCTATATCTATTCCTATCGCTGTTTTTATTGCTGTTGTCTCGTATTTTGTTTAGGACTTAAGATATATATACTAAGCGCATGTCGCACTTAATTAAGTAATCGAAGATAAAATAAGCAGAATAACATTGCACTTCTTATTACCGCAATTACGTATGCATAACGTTAAACCGATAACCATAACTTATAACCGATCGCATCATTTTAGACTTGTCAATATCAAGAAAAATTTCGACTACGAATATACATATTCAGATGTTTAAAAGCTATTTGTATTCATCTTGAATGAGTAGGCATTCGAATATCGAATATATCGAATAACGAATACATTTTTCAAAAACTAGATAAAATTATAATACTGTCCCAATTTTTTAGTAATAAAGCTTACAAACAAAAACCTTAATATTTTATATAGGAAAGGTTTCGTTTGCTTGCAGTCCCGATTACATACAAAACAATTCGTCAGTCACGCCTAATCCTTAGAAAGGCTTAATGTATATAATTTCTGTGCATTCGAGAAATAGAAGTAAATGGAACTGGAGACTTGAGATGCATGAAATATCAATCAAGATATATATATTTACTTTGATTGTTCTAATTAATCAAATATCAACAATATTGCGACTTTTATATGAGACATTTAATTGGTCGATTTTATATGTATTATACGGCTATGTAAGTTTTGATTGGATAGGCTTTCAAAGAAGAAAATTTTGAATATAAGAATATGAATAGTTAAAAAATATCTAGTTGATATTTTATTCATAATTTTTTATTTGATATTTTTACATCGAGCTGCAAAAAAATATTAAATGTTCGATATTATCGAATAGCGATAAACATCCTTATTTTCGATGCTTTAAAAGACGCTTAAAAGACGAATATAAATCCATGTATACTTTCAGTCCATTTTAAACAATAATTTTTTATAATAAATATTTAAATTTATAGGTAACAAGCAAATTGTATTAAAAAAATATTTTAATGTAATATGGTACATTTTTAAGCTGATTTTTTTACAAACGCAAAACGCATTTTGCCTATTGATGCGAACGGTTTAATGTTCTTTAGTACTGGATTTCCGTAAGCTTTTAATAATAAAAAAAACGTTAGCATAATAATTTCGCATCCTGGATTGTAATAAATGAGCATGCGCACGCGCACGCTCCATCTAGAGAATCCTTCTAGGAATATTCTTCTAGAGAGCACGTAGTAGCAAGTTTAGTTTGTTTAGTCTCGCGACGTTACTTTCACTCGTGTCTATTTACCACTTATCAAAGTGTTGTCCAGAGCTTCCGGAAAGAAGGTAATATTGCATCAGACTTTTATTAATCATCCTTAATTCACCAATAAAGTATTTTAGGCCGGCCGTAAGAAGACGTTACTTTCGTTAATTTGCGAAACGATAGGTCTGTTTTCTGTGACTGAACTAATATACACTTTTATATTTGGAACATAAAGTGAGATAGGTATTTGTTTGATATTTGTCGAAAACGAAAAGAGAGTTCTTATGCAGTCTCAGAAAACAGACTACATATTTCTTCTGCAACATATTTACAACGCCTTGGAACGAAGCTGTGATGGTATCATGCAATTAACTATGCCCCATCGAGTACATCATCGTCGTTTTTTTATTTTGAAGACCTAGCTGTATATCTATCGTAACGTTACGATCGTAAGCGATCATGATCGTAAGGAAAAAAGCTATCGTAAAACATTGTTTGTCTACATAAGATCGTATAACAAAGCTAATAGCGAAACAAAATGTTAGAGCTAAATAACTATATTCTCATTGGCTATCATATCGCCAGACAAGTTCGTAATCGTGTGAGTTGAAGTTGAGTCCACTCTTACGATGGTTATTACGATGAGCGTTACGATTATCGTAAGGAGCTTACGATAGTCATTACGATAGATGTAGCTGAGTCTTGATGTATCATCGTGGCAATCAACGCTGCTTATGCATCACGATTTGATGCATCGCGGACAGCTTTGATCCAGGCTATCGGTCTTGCTTTTCTGTGCGTTACAAATAGAACGGACGCATGATGGAGTATCTGTTACATGTATAATTTTTTTATCTCGATTTAAACACTAAATTACGTATCACGTTGCTCCACAAAATACGAACGGGTAAATAAATTTCGCACATTCACATATCACATTCACATTCACGGGCTCATAGAAGTTCCGATTCATCAAAATGATACTCTTCATATTACTCGGATTGACAAATTTGTCTTCCGTCTATTTCCATTGCAAACATGCGAGTTATAGACGATTGTGAATACAATCTTAGTGTGAGTTAATCTTGCATTCATAATATCCTCCGCTTTTGCATTGCAACCTAATATATTTCTCGTTCCCACATGTGACATGGAATGTAAGCGATCGGTCGACAGAAGAATGGATGATATAATAATATGTGACTCGTATGAAAGTTATGCTGACACTTTATTCCAGGCTAGCATTCAACTTCTTTCGTCCGACGAATAATCGTTCAAATACATGCGCAAACAAGATGTGCTACCATTATACTTTTATTATATTGGTCTCTGTTGGATACACTGTTTCCTGATTAAAAATTTTCGGTACACGGACCATCGATCATACGATGATAGATCACTACTAATCTCACAATGATGGTTATAATTATCCTGCTTTGTATTAGCATTACATTGTTGCATATTCCTTCCTGAACTCTATGATTAGATGTACATATATATAATGGATTAAATAGATATTTGCCTCGCGATGACACAAATAATCACAGCTGATCTTTCAGTACTACTTTGTCCGGCAGCGTAGAGCGGAAAGTTGATCGTCGAATAAATAGTATCAATCACAGCCAATCTTGCAGCTTCAAATGTTCTGGTAACCATTCCGATAACAACGATGAATCTTTAATTTGGAACCACCATAATCATGTTGCCGTTCTAACTTCGGCGATTATAACTAGAGCACATCTCCGCATGAATATGGATATCATGCGACAATGTTACACAATTTCGCTAACACACTCCGGGTTTTCGCGAGTCTTGCACTTATGCACGTCATAAACTCCAGTTCGTCTGCAGAGCTAGCTTGAGCGTGACGAACATGGTGAGTAACGCGGTGCAGGCCATCATTGATGGCGATGACGCCATGCTATGCTGCATGGCAGCCGGATTGTCACCCTTGAAAACGTGCACCAAGACGCGCGCCGGCTGGGCATTACTAGCCTCGCAGGTATAGTTGCCCGAGTGACGATCCGACGCTTTTGGTACCTCCAACCAGCTTTCCCGACCAACGAGATCAGTGCTAACATTAACACCTTGATCAACGTCGTAATTAATCATACGGAAGTTATGATACCAAAAAAGATATGATGGTACTTCCGTGGATTTCTTTACCAGACAATGGAGTTGCAACGTGCTACCAGGCCTCACAAATTTCTCCACCGGGCCGACTATCTCCGCTCTTGCTTCTGCAAATGGCCAAATATAACACATGAGACGTGAACCGTTCATAAACTTGGCTAGACATTGGGGCATTGTTTACTATCATGGGTATGTGAAAGCCTGTCCTAAGGGCGAGAGAAGGAAATAGCTCATGTAAGAGCGACAGAATCTTACACATTCCGCCAGGGTCTCTCAAACACTGGGATCAGGAAATTAATATAGCGGGCAATTATTTCTAAAAAAAAAATCACGTTATATGTTTAAAAATGATCTCGTTTAAAATATTATTATTATATGGAACATAGTAAACAATACACTATTTTTTCCTAATGAAACTGTTGGTTTATAAAAAGTAATAACTTATTTGAAATACTATTTATACTATACTACTTCAACAAAATATAATTTCAAGAGACACGGTAGTGTTTCGCGCCAAGTGTAGTTAGCCCGTGTTTTTACGCGAGCCGGCGAGTTGCGAACACCCGAGATTATCGGATCTCGCAATAAATGACTGAATCGATCAACTTCTGAGTAATCTCAATCGACAACTTGTGTTTAAATTATATAATAAAAATTTTTTATTTTCTACGAACGGAGATATCGTGATGTTTGAAATCCGAAATGTTAAAATTTTATATTAAGATACGTCATCATCATCATCGCCCTCGGAAATGTTGTTTGTTTCACATTTTAAACGACAGATGGCACTCGCCTGCGTTGCGGCACTTGCGGCACTACTTACTTGCAGTTTCGCTTGTACCATATCGATATATTGATAGAGAGCTAAATCGCTGTCATTCGTGGCATCGCTTCGTGAAAATATATCGTTATCGTAAAGACCACAGCACAGTCTTTTGCATAACGCATAATGCATAGTGTATGAGAAAATAAACCAAAGTTTCTCTTTTCCGTAAAATAAAAAGAAAGAAAGGTTTTTGATTAGTCGATTCGCTTATATACTATGTACTATGTGTTATGCAAAAGTCTGTACTGCGGCCTTAATCAGTATGTAAATTCTGAAATATTCTAAGTGTCGTAAAAAATGTAAAAAATTGTCCCCTATTCCGTATAATTATCTTCATTTTTTTCTTCAAGAGCTCACACACACAAGCGCGTATTTGATACCTTTTTTACTTTTTTGAAAAAGGATAATTTTTTACAAACCTTAAATATATCCATTTTAATGAACTATGCTGAAGCAAAAAATATAAACAAATAATAAGAACTTTCATCTATTCTTTTATCAAATTTTTATCAACTATATTAATTAGTTACCGTTTTTTTACTTTGTTTTATAATAATTTTTTAATACAGCTATCCATAAATATCCTTATCGTAATTTGACAATCATTATGACTGACAATGAATAGTCATAATTTGTTAATAGCTATAATAAAATATTTTTCTGATCCAATGATATTTGATCTATGAGATTTGTATAATACGCAATTGATGCAATTGCCATAGTGAGATGATTTATCGGAAACGATATGATAGAGTATTTTATCCAATAATATCAGAATTATAATTAATAAGTGTACATATATATGTTGTAATAAACAGTATTTGTATGAAAGTAGTCCGACTGCATAATTAACCTTTCATATATAGAGCAGCAGATTCACACGTTGCTGTTTCCATTAACTGAGCATCAATGATACTTGGATATCATCGGATATCAGTTATAAGGATATCAATTTTGATATTCATTTCTTTATGGAAACAAAAATATATTCGTCAACTTATTTTAATAGTGAATGTTGAACATACACGATAAAGAAATCTATATCTATTACTTATTATCAAACTTATTATCAAAAATATTGAAAAAAATTAAAAATTTCACAAATCTTTCCGTTAGATAGCATGAATCAACGAAATGCATGTACTACAGTGATTAATTATCCGATAAGCAACTCTCTCTCAAGGTAATTAATTTCTCAATTCTCAATCAATTTACTCCATTGAGCAAATTGTCTATTAATTAAGTATTCAATTAGGCGATGTTCTATGGACCTGTATGCCCCACAGAGCTTTTTTCCATAGAATAATTGTCATTGTATAATTAATATTGCTATTCATAGAAATTACTTTATCATTCAGTGTAATATTATATTTTCTGAAACAATTACTTTAAGGAGATTATTAATATAATATAAAAAATCGATATTATCCGATATTCATTTGCACTAGTCATAAAAATTTAATATTAAAATTTAATACATTCTATTACCGTTTAAAAATTTTTTTATTTTAATTGAATTGAATAAAACTATTTAAATGAAAAGAATAACATATTAATGGAGATTGAAAATTGTATATACAGGTATATCGATAATACTGTCATAGATTATCATCATGTATCGCTAATCAATCGAGAATGGAATCAATCATGTAAAAGGATAATCTTTTTTTTAATATCTTTTCGTTACCAATTGTTGTGCTTGCATGGAATTTTAACGGGTTTCATCGTAAATTGAAACCATTCATTCTTTCCTGTGAACTGCCTATATTGATTTGTAAGTCGATAGCACTGAATAGCGTATGACACAGAGCTCTCAAACTATTTAAATCAAACAGAAATATTGCATTGATAAATTCACGATTTGAATGTAACGTTTCAAAGTGATTACAAATACATGATATGAGCTTGATACTTTGACAGCTGTATATTTTGGAAAAGATTTACGTTTGCCGTTAGTTATCTATTTTTGTAGTTATCTATTTTTGCGTTCGACATCTAACACTTCGTATTAGATGTCGAACATTTCAAGTTATTAATTTTTAAAAATGCTAGTTCTGTTCCCATTTTTATAAATAAATTATTGACATATCACATAGAAAATGGTACATAACTCTTCTTATCAGTAATGTGATCTGTCTATTATTCTTATGTACAGCAATAAATAAAAAAAGAATGGAATTTTTTTAATTCACGTGTATCACAAACGGTGAGTCCTCCTCTAATGTTACACTCTGTAGCAAGAATAATATTTTATAAATCTTTCGTTCAATCTCACCATATTAACATGTAAATTATTATTTCACAAATCCAATCGCATTAGTTATTACAACTCCTATCCTCCGTGACTTTAAATAAAATAACAATATCATATTGTTAAAATTTTAAACAAACACAAGCTTTGAGTGAGATAGAAGAATTTTGAAGAAATTTTTGATCTTGGCTTTGAGAAATACTGTTGAGACGACTCACACTTTTGCGGTATCTCGTATGAGGGGCTCCGAGATTTTAAGTCCGCTCACGCTCGGATGCGTTTCATCCTTTCACTCGACGCGACCTGACACGCCGCGCGCTGGGCGTGTGAGAATCAGATGTGTGAGGAGTACTCGCTGCCAACACCCGCACCAGCCAGTCCAGATACGCTTTTACTACTGTCACGACCGCAAATGATAGTCGAGATGTGATTCGAAACGTTTGCGCGCGGTCTGAGGGCTCCCCAGAGTGAATGGGCATCGATTCCTGGGGGCTATTGCAATTTCAAATCACTAGAGCGTATGTCCTTGTCCGACGCTTGTCTGATTTTTTGACAGCCTTTACTCGGCATTTACGCAAGCCACCCCTAGACTTTGTCCTGAAAAGTGCGACATGGATCTGCTGCGGGTGAATTTTTCTCTCTTATTCCGACTTCAGTTCAGTTCTCTTACTTCCGACCATAGTAGCAAAAGATTGATTTTCATGAATCAACTGTATATAACACAAAATATGTTAATGTGATGGACACTCGGATGGACACTTGGATGTCACATCACTCAACTTGTATTTGAAAAATTAAAAATCGAAATTTGAAATTATTTCCTAATATACTTGTATAAAACAAAATATATGAAATAAAGCTATATATAAATACAATTTATTTAATATTACAAGTTAAAATTGACTAGCAATTTAATAATTTTATGCTTTTTCGCATCTTATAATAATTGACTGACATATTAGAATCTGTAAATAATTAATTTTTATTGCGAAAAATATTATCTCGGCCGGGAGTCGAACTGGAAGAAGTCGATCTTTAACATTCCGTGCGAATATTCTAAGTCTTTGGACTATCGAAAAACCTTATAATATTCTTATATATTCTTCGCAATAATTGACAACTAAAAATAAATTGATTTAAAAATTCGTTTCTTCAGTGCTATCGTTTTTTTATTAAAATAATAAATAATTTATTTTTAAAAATAAATAATGAAATATTAAATATTTTACTAAAAGTTATTTGAAAATTATAAAAAATCAATACATAAACATACAAATATGCGATAATACAATTATATTTTGTTAACATTTTTCAATTGAATTTTTTGTACGTCAATAAAATCTTCAGTCGAAATTAATTTCGCTTCCTGCGAAAATAAAATCCTCTTCATTCAATGACAAAAAAAACCTTATTTAATATAATAATAAAAAAATTAATCGGTTGCATATTTATAAGTTTGTATTCATTAAATTAATAAAAAATATTTTTTTATTCAAACAAACTTTTGTGTTTGTATTGATATATACTTATCTTTTTATGTTTACGTAAAATGATTATGTTTACGTAATACTTGTGTATAGGTAATACATATTGCTTTTCAAAAGAAAAATTAATATGGAAAAGGAATAAATTTTTTTAGTAAAATTGATATTAATAATTTTAAATTTATATTCACATATTTATCTTACAAGAACATAAACAGATTTAATTGTGAGTTTTCTCGGATAAAACTAATTTGCGTTTTACGTTAATTAAAAATTCATAATAATTGTGTTGTAAAAGTATTTAATGAATTCGTCGCTATTATTTCTGTATTCAGTCTCAAATATGACTATACCGTCGTTTTTCACGTGATACGTAACAAAGTCCCAACGCAGATCATTAATGCATACGGCACAATGGCGTTGCTATTCCATCGCGCCACGCATAAAAGCATAAAACCGACATAAATATCGCTGGATGTGGCACAGACCATATCACATGCGAAACATTATCGGCCCGTTGAGAGTTAATAATTCAAAGTCTTCCGTGAAAAGCGTTACGTTGTTCAATAAGAAGGACATGTCGCTTCGCGGTGCGGCGCGACATGGCATGGTGATGGTATTTCGAGGGTATCGTTGGTGACTTATTGGACGCGTATTACACACTGTCCGTAATTTAATGGGAAACTAAGATCCCGTATAAATTGTAAATTCGAGATGTTACGTATTGGAAATTGGGCAGCTTATAAAGTGCCACGGAACATAATGTCGCGCAGTTATTGTGAGCTTAAAGATGACGCTATTACTAAATAGTTAAAGTCTGAGGGGGCTTTGTCGAAAGAAAAGGACTGATCTTGTTAAGAACGAAATATTATAACCCCAGAATTATAACAAATGGACAAAAACGAACGCGAGCACGCATCTCGTTTCTCATGATCCGATTGTATTTTGATGAGAATTTATTAAGGCCGAATTTAAAACTATCTTCATTTTGAAGACAATATCACGATTATATTGATTCTAAAGTTATACCATATTCTTTCCGACTCGCCGCTTTCATCAAATTCAACTTTCCTTCTGAATTCTCATTCTTAGTACCTCAATTGAATTTTTTTCATTCACTTGCCCGCCAATATATTTCGGCATTTCGATAAACTTACTTCAATTTTCTTTAAAATTGTACGTTTCTTAAAAATTAAGATTCAAAATTATTATTATATGTATATTTCAGAATAATACTTTTAGCAATTATAGGAATAACAAAATATACTGCTATTACGAAATTCTTTTAATTTGCAAAACACTTTAAATTAATAGTTCATCTGACATGCTTAATTAAAATAATCAATTTAACAGAAAAAGAGAGTAATTAAATATAAATAAAAATATTAATTCTCAAAATTTAATAGAATATTATTGAAGATATAATAAATTAAATTGATTTTCGGTTTTATATTTATAACTGTTTATAACTCAATAATGTGCTACATTTAACTAGGTAATGGAAATTTAAAATTCAATCAACATCGCTTTGTAACACCTAATAGGTGATAATATTTGAGCAAACGTTACAAATTTGAAATATTTATTTTATAAGTAAATTTAAGTTAATTTACATTTAAGTTACTTTAGGCGTTTTAAACTGTCAAGTTACAATATTTGCTTATATAAAAGTTCTATACTTACAAAACTGGAGACTAAAAATTATATGAAGAAATTTAACATAGAGTTTTTAGAATTAGACTTAGATATCTAATTTTATGTACAATATCATTTAACGAAAATTTATGTACATGTATGCGTGCGACGTAATAGTACACACACACACACACACACACACACACACACACACACACACACACACACACACACACACACACACACACACACACACACTATATATATATAAGTAACATAAATCGTATGTGTGTGTCCTATTGAATAGGTAAAACAGATAATTATGGGATCTCCTTAAAAATATACATAAAGATAATGAAACCGAAACATGTAAAAATATTGAAAAACGAAATTTCAAATGTTATTTGAGTTTTATTGCTGAAAGGAATAATTTTGCATTGTTTTTACGATTATGACATTAAGAATTCCAAAAAGTAAACACATAAGCTGAATATTTTTATTTTTTAAAAGCTTCTTTAAAAAAAAAAGAGTAATTTATCTAAATATAATTCGTTTATTACCAAATTCAAAATTTATTACTCGTTCCTCCAAGTCTTTTGCCATATACAAAAACATAAAATTTAGAAATAATTGAAATAGAGAAAAGCACAGCTTATTCTTTCATAAATAATAAAATGTCAAGATAGTCTACTTAGTTACTTTATATATACGTTCATGTACAAAAGTGTAATATGAATAAAATTAAAATTAATTTTGACATGTATAATCCACATACTGAACATAAATATCGGATTATACAAAAACGTTATATAATATTTTATAAAATATCATAAAAGGCAGAGTGTAGTGAACCACTCATGATCATTAAAAGTTATAAATATATGAGTATATAATTTTGTAATAAAAGTTTTTGCTTACCGACGACGTCAAGGAGCAGAAATATACTTGTGGGCGGATGGGTGGACACTTGGCATTCATACAATCCGGCATCCCTTGGTTGGACGTATTTTATTTGAAGCGTCCAATCTTCGCTGTGGTGGAAATGAATTGCCTGAAACCGTTCATCGTTGGCGTATGTCGTTAGTCCTACGGTCAGTAGTTCGTGTAACAATAAGTTCTTTCGCTTGATCCACGACACCTGCAAACAAAAAGATTAATTTATAAAAATGTGATTTAATATCTACGAATCATGTTATATACGAAAGTAGAGAAAAGGCTATTTTTAATGTCGTTTTCTATGTACACTAAAAAAAAATTTACTAAATTTTATTAAATATTTGTTTGAATAGTACTAACACGAAATATTTACTTACAGTAAATAAACATTTATTAAAACTAAAAAATTAAATAAATATATGTTTAGTAAATATTTCGTTAGTGCTCAAACAAATATTTAATAAAATTCAATAAATTTTTATTCAGTGTATCTTTTTTGATAATCAAATAAAATTCTTACTTAAATCTTATTTTTATCACAGATTGCATAAATGGTTTTTTCACTTTTATAATCTCAATATGGAATTTTAAAACATCTGTATTATAACTATTTCAAATATGAAAGAAAGCATTGAATTTAATATTGTAAAACAAAATATTTTCATAATTTCAAGAATAAAAAATGGCATAATTTAAGAATTTTAAAACTACGTATATAGAGTTCATTTATATTGAATTCATATATATGCATATTGATAAAAAAATTAACTCCTATTCGTTCGAAAAGCATGCTCAAAATTCAATGTAATAAAGCGAAAGAGGTCGTATAAAAATAGAACGTGCAAAAAATATGTGCGTTATGATTATTAAAATATCTTGTGTATTATTTTTAAAACACCGGTAGTTATATTCATCACATTTATTCGCTTTTCTAGCTGATAAAATTGAGTGTTTTGCTACTGCGGTTTTTATATGATGCAGTAATTGGAATACAGATTGCCAACGCACCTGTCGCAATTGTTAGTCATAACAGTCTGTGACTACTGTCCATATATAATGAACAGTAATGACTGCCCGTTCATAACGGTTAGAAACTACTGTCCAACATAGCGATCCGCAACTACTGATACGCATCCGTAGACCGTAGAATACAAACAGTAACGCCGCGGTAACTACAGCTCGTTCCTCAGTCCACATAGTGCTCGTTATTACATTAATTGCTCGTATCGTAATTCTGCATACGTAGCTATTTGAAAACATTATCCCTGCAAACAAAGGATGTAAGTATGTTCTAGGTGCTTGAAATATTTTGCGCGATTTAATACCTAATGCCCTTAAAAACGTATACATTTTTTAAAAGTGATAAATAATAAATGAAGCGTCGATTTACTTCTTCCTTCTTTTTTTCTTTTATTTCCTGCGGTCATATTATAATAGTTACGTAACACAGTGCACGTAATGCATATAATTTTGAAAGTACAACTTTCTTTTTTTCTCCGCATATTACTTGCAGATTTATATGCAAAACCTTCATAATAAAACCTTCATATTTTTACAAAAATACGATCAAATTTCGAGATGCTGTTTTTATAAAAATAGTTTCTGCTGGATTCATTATAATTTCAAAATAATCCTCTCCATTGAAATAGATATTATACTTGCATAATAGATATTATGTCTACTAAATATTTTGGTAATAATTTTATTACATTTTTTACGTGTCTGATATTTTTACAAATAGATTCGTTGTAAAAAAAATCACTATATCTGTAAATGCGCCCTTATTATTTCTACATAACATATATGTCTCTTAATTCTAATCGTTAGACTTTTATTTCTGCAGAATTCGTACGTCTCTGCAACGTCTCCTAACATCCTCGAATTAATTATTTTATCGTAAAATCCACACTTTCGCGCTAATACGCGTGAATCACTTTATCATGCGATATCGACTTAGAAAAGTTTAAACAATGAATATATTCCCGACTTTGCCATTAATTACGAACATTTCGCGAGATGTGGGAAATGCATCTTTATGCCAAATTAAGCATTATAAAATTTGTGACGTCACTGAATCACTCAATGTCGACAACTATTAGTACGTGCCAGATGCTTAATTATAACGAACAATAACTGAAATTTGCAACGACCAGTAACTGCGACAAATATACATACACGTATGCGCGCGACGGTCAGTAACTATGGCACGTCAATAACGTGCGGTAACTATCGTACGTATTTCCATCCGACCTCCTGAAAACCTCAAGAAGCCCCGTCAGCCAGAATAATCCGACAACTGTACGGCGAGATGATTGTAGGGCTCGTGACCGGAATTAATCGTGGACTCTAAAGACGATTAAATCCCCTTGATAACCACATATTTTTTATCCCTTTGTCATGCTCCAGCATACGATAAAGAAAAAAAATATGTGTCGAATAAAGAGTACCGCGATGCATAAAACATTTTGATATTTATAAATCGAAAAGTATATGCATCAGAAATACGGCGACATTATGTAAATCGACTTTACGTATATTTTTACGTATTTTAATATAGAAAACGCATAAAAATGTAATAATATATAACAGAGAATAATATAAAAAATTAAAAATATATATCCATTTCCAAACATATGTTACTACTCTAGTTCAATAGCTGTTTTCCATCTTTCTGTCCATCATAAACCAATGTGATATTTGCTCGCAAAAAGGATATACCGTAGAGAAATGTCCTATGGAGTCGATCAGAAGACGTATCTCAGCAAGAAAATATTTTATGTTCAAACGACTTGACCAGTATCCATTTTCATATTTTAGTGAATGGAAGTTCGCAGTCTGTAAAATCGAATAAAATACTGCTAGACAGGACACACACGAGCTAGTTAATTTTATTGCGCATTTAAACGTGCCAGGCATTAAAAGTTTCAAGCAATTTTCTATTCTAGGTAAAATCCATTTTCGATAATTCATAGATGAAAATAATTCAGAGTGATTGAGAGAAAAAAATCGCATGAAAATTAATGACAGTAAACATTGAAAAGTCCCGTGGCAAATTTGCTTCTATCAAACTGGAACACTTCTGTATATTTAACGTACAGGCAACGTTTGTAAACGTAAAATATTTTGCAAATAGTAAAACATAATATTTGTGATAAATTTGTTTGTGTACTCATTGACTCAAAGATTGCAACATTTTTCGATGGATTTCTGAATGCAACACCGAGCGATTGCTTATTTACTTATGGATTCATAAAGAAGAACCAACCGCTTAGTGAGTAAGCTATCATTCCGGAACTCATTAAAAAAAAGATGTTACAACCACCTTTTACTCCATAATCATACACTGGAAAAAGTTACTGAGAAATTTATATAGGAAATGAAGTTGTACCCACGCCAGGTAATTATGATGTTTATACACAACTCGATTTACGCCTAAGGTTATAATATTGATATTATGAAAAATTAACCAATCATATAGCTATTCTTATGAAAAATGTGACTGTGATTGGTCAGTTTCATAACATCGATGTTATAACTTCGGTGCTTGATTAATCACAGTCAGGTATTCCCCTCTCATTCGGCGATAAGAAGGGAATACTTGAAGATGATTGGTCAATTTTTACAGATTATGATATACGGCATACGGTTACGACCAATATAAATGCTCCCTTCGATCAAGTCGTGTAAACAACAACGACAATAACGCTGGACGACGACGACCGGGCAACTCCGGGCGACTCTGGGTGATGCCGGATATGACTCCGAGCAAATATATTTTTTTCTTTTTTAAAAAGATGTTTTTTTAAGGATCACATTTTTTAAAATATATAACATTATAATTAATAATATTAAATCTCATAGGACATATAAAAACACAACCAATAAGAAATAAATGTCTTTAACGATTTGACTGGATCTTAAGTGTTTGTATAATTTTGTGTAAATTTGTATATTATGTATGTTAATCTTTTAAACTGCGTGTTGAAATGATTTTTCGGTTTTGAAACGCGAAGGATGCGTTCACTTTTCACGTTCACACGCTATAAATTGGGGGAGATCAGGAACGATGTAACAATTTGTTCTTTGATTTTATAACTTCTAAATTATAGAATTTCTAAATGAATCCATGATAGTAAATCTAGGTTATTAAATAATATAATCTAGTTGAAAAACCAGCAACATATTATCATCAACTTTTTCAAATAAATCTTTTAAAGGTATGTCATTTGTTATTTTTGTCCCTATACTTCTAGAGACGAGAATAACATACGATGAAATGATATATAACATCCTGTTATAAAATACATCCTTTAAAAATAAATTAATAGAAGAGATACTTTTAGAAGGATTTTTATTTATTCTGTTATTATTATATTATTTTTGTATTTATTTTTATTTTTTTTGCAGCTAATTTATATATTTTCGCAAAAACTCGCCCTCGATATGTTTTTCTTTTATAAATGTTTGACGTTCTAAAAACATATAATTTCATATTAAAGCAACATATGTATACTACTAAAGCAAAAATATGTATACTACTAAAGAAAAAAAGAGCGTAGAAAAAGTCGAATGGGAACAAAAGTAATAAATAACAATAAATCTTGTTACTTTTGTTCCCATTCGACTTTTCTATACTCTTCTTTCTTTGCTCCCTATTAACGATACCTCTCATTAACATCTTATTACATGCTACCTATAATCATAATAAATTTTATGCCTATCTTCAAGTTTAATGTCTATTTAATACAGTGTATAAATATCCGGAGAATTTTACGTAAATAAAATAAAAAGGTATACAATAATATTAGAAACTTATTTTTGATGTTATATTTCAATAAAACAGTAAAATTCAAAGAACTGCTTGTTTATGCGTATTATCAATAATTGAGATGAAGGAGGATGTGATTGATGTATAAAGAAGACAATTATTGGTCAATTGATATTTTTTTTATAACATTTATTACATTCGTCGTATTTTTCCGTGTTACATTTGTCTCTGGTTTTCTATATACACTCGAGCAAACGTGACAACTATGTCTATTTGTATACGATACGAAATGCAAATGTACACGGAAAACGAACGAATACTTATGTGGATATCCTGATCCATTCACAGCTCGTGAATTGCAAAATCACTATGGTCCTCTCCAAAACCGTTTTCAGTATCGGAGAAATCATTCCGTTGATATTTCATTGTTCTAA